GGAAATATGAAGAAGCAAAAAATTCCCAACCAGAAAAGCAAAAAGAAAAAAAAAATATGAAGATAGTGTAAGGAGCCTCTGGGACAACTTCAAGTGCACCAACATCCGAATTATAGGGGTGCCAGAAGATGAGAGAGAGTAAGATATTGAAAACTAATGCAAATTAAATGCAAATTAATGCACAATGAGATATTATATCATGCCTGTCTGAATGGCTAGCATAAATAAATCAACAAACAAGCATTGGCGAGGATGTGCACCGTTGGTAGGAATGCAGATTGGTGCAGCCACTATGGAAAACATTATGGAGCTACCTCAAAAATTAAAAATGGAACTGCCTATGACCCAGTGATTCCACTACTTCTGGGAATTTATTAGAAGAAACACGGCACACTAATTCAGCGGTTCTCAACCTGTGGCTTATGACCCCTTTGGCGGTCGAACAACCCTTTCACAGGGGTCGCCTAAGACCATCCTGCATATCAGATATTTACATTACGATTCATAACAGTAGCAACATTACAGTTATGAAGTAGCAATGAAAATAATTTTATGAGTGGGTCACAACATGAGGAACTGTATTTAAAGGGCCAGAAGGTTGAGAACCACTGCACTAATTTGAAAGAATATTTGTACCCCTATGTTCATTGCAGTGTTATTTACAACAGCCAAGATTTAAAGCAGCCCAACTATCCATCAGTAGATGGTTGGATAAAAAGAGCTGTGGAGCTGTGGTACATTTACACAATGGAATACTACTTGGCTGTAAACAAAACAAAACAAAAATGGAAATCTTACCATTTGCGACAGCATAGATGGACCTGAAGAACATTATGCTAAGTGAAATATGCCAATGAGAGAAAGACAAGTACCATATGATTTCACTCATATGTGTAATCTAATGAACAAAATGAACTAACAAGCAAAACAGAGACAGACTTACAGATAGAGAGCCGACTGACAGCAGGGGAGGGTGTTTGGGGGTAGGGGGGTGTCTGAATATTAGGTGGAGGGATTGAGCAAAAAAACAAAACAAAAACAAAAACAAAAAAAACAGAGGCCCTAACTGGTTTGACTCAGTGGATAGAGTCTCGGCCTGCGGACTAAAGGGTCCCAGGTTCGATTCCGATCAAGGGCATGTACCTTGGTTGCGGGCATATCCCCAATAGGGGGTGTGCAGGAAGCAGCTGATCGATGTTTCTCTCTCATTGATGTTTCTAACTCTCTATCCCTCTCCCTTCCTCTCTGTAAAAAATCAATAAAATATATTTAAAAAAAAGGAGACAAACGAAGAAACTAATGGACAGTGACAATAGTGTGTACTGAGGAGGGGACGGGGACTAGAGGAAAGAGAGTAGGTTTTAGGAGGGATAAATGGAGACTTGACTTGGGGTGATGAACACACAATACAGTGTACAGATGATGTGTTGTAGAATTGTGCACCTGAAACCTGGATAATTGTTAACCAGTGTCACCACAATAAATTTTTTTAAAAGTCCATACCCAAATGTGATATACTAGTGCTGTATGAACCCACCTACTTAATGTTCTTAAACAACACTTTCAGAAGGTTATCAGAGACCAATGAGAGGCTAGAGTGAGAGCAGTGGGTATGGCTGAAAAAGGCAATAGGAAGGATACTTCTGAAAGCAAATGTTCTGTATCCTGTGTGTAGTATTGTCAGTATGCTGCTTATGACATTGTATTGTATCTGTTATTTCTTACATCTGAAGTGAATCTATGATTACCTAAATAAATAAATAAATAAATGCACCTATATTCATAGCAAGTGCCAATTTTAGCACAGCCTCAACCATCTAGGGGGAAAAAAGATAAGGATGAGAAGAATCCTACTGTGACATATCCAGTTCTATGTTGGTTGCAGTAACAAGATTTTAGTAGCCTCATAAAAAATATTCTTTATTTAACAGCAAAAGATACACTCCCCACTGGAGATGTGCGTGCAACCCAGGGTACATGCCCTGACCGGAATCGAACCTGGGACCTTTCAGTCCGCAGGCCGACGCTCTCTCCACTGAGCCAAACCGGTTTCGGCCAGTAAAAATATTTTATTTTAGAAAGAATGAATGGATAAGCACAATGGATTACATACACACCACAAAATGTCATTCAGCCTTCACGGAGGAGAGAATTCTGACACATGCTACATCATGGATGAGCCTTAGGACATTATACTGAGGGAAGTAAACCAGGCTCAAAAGGACAAATGCTGTATGGTTCCATGTATGTGCTCTCTAGAGTGAGTGAGATGGTAGGTGCCAGGGCCAGCAGTATGGGGGAATGAGGAATTATTACTGATGGGTAAGGAGTTTCAGTTTGAAAAGATGAAAAAATTCTGGAGATTGGTTGCACAACAATGGGATATACTTAAGATTACTGAACATTTAAAAACACCACTGTACATTAAAAATGGTTAGAATTGTAAATTTTGTTATTTGTATTTTAAAATTAAAAATTCAAAAGAAAAAGCCCTAAAAAATAAGACCTTCAGGATGGTGACTTAGTGCATTGGGCAGAAACAATCTTCAATGGAGTGATAAAGAGCACTGATTTATCAGAATCTGTCTCTTCTGCTCACTGTGGCATCTACAGGGACCTGAATACATTCAAAGGTGAACAACTGAAACTCAAAAGATACTAAATTCATAGCATCACTTTGCAAGTTGTACTGGTCAAAGGTATCAGCACATGCTGTGTTCCAGGGGTACAGCTCCAAGGGAATGGACAACCCCCCACTTCACGTGCCCAGCAAATTCCCTCTCTTCCTGAGCTGAACCCCCTCTCAAGTTTAAAGTCCTGCTAAATGCCCTGTGCAGAGAACAAATTGCTGTCCTTCAGATAGTCTTCCATCTGCTGAGAACCAGTAGCAACAGGGTCCACCCCTTTACAGCACCAACATTCTTGTAACAACTGAATTTCATGCCAACGAAAGGAGAGTGTTCAGTAGGAAAACTAAGGGGGTGTGGTCAGAAACCACAGCCCCAGGCAGAAACTGGGATGGAAAGAGGTGAGTGAAGACACCTGCTAAAACAAAAACAGCTCCCACAACCTGAGAAAGTAAGGCTTATATGGAAACCCCCTAACAGCCCTCTGCATGGCTACGTGATGGTACCAACGAAATCTACGTTTTCCCCTCCCCTTTTTCACTGGTGGAGACACCAAGATGCCAAGAGGAAGAGAGATGGGGACTCGAGGATGTTTGTTGTCCACCACCATTGTCCACACAGGCTCCCAAAGGTGACGGCACAGCCAGCATGGTGAGCAGCCCAGACTATGGGGCAGGAGGAGGGATAGGAGTCACATAAACACATATGTGTCCTTTTATTTTTTCTAGACTGGGGCTGAACGGCCTGTGTGGCAGAGAGAAAGCTGGCCAGGATCCTGGCAAAGCTTCCCTGTAGCTGACAGAGAGGCAAAGTGGGGTTTTCAAGGGTTCTTGCAGAAGTCACTCACCAGGGGCAGCTGGAGAGAGGTCATCTGCTGTCCATCCCTCATGCTCACTTCCTGAAGGAGGGATGGGTCCTGAGGAACTGAAAGAGATAAGAAAAGGGTGTCTCATAACCCTGGGTCTCTTTTCTTACCTGGGAGGACAAGATAATGCAGATAAAAACTTTGGGCAAACTTTGCTTTCAAATACAACAAGGGAGACTTTAACAGGGAATGCCTGGGCTTGAGTTGGCCCTGCCACCAAGTCGCAATGTAACTTCCCAAAGATGCAGGGGCTTCAACTTCATGATCCGAAATATGGGGAAAATAGAGGTTAGAGCTCTGAGTCAAGACATCAGTAAGAGCTGCCAGCAATGAAAATTACTGTGGGGCTCCAGGGTCGTAGAAATGTATATACCTGGAAGTTTATAAACTGTAAACTCCAGAACACTGTGTCCCTGTTATGCCCCCTCTTACCCTCCTAGAAGAAGCACTTGTTGAAGTCCACTAGAAAGTGCAGAGTATAGAACTGGGACCACCTCCCTTAGCCTGACCTTGAGGCCTGGGGGCAGGGGTTGCTATTCCAATAGACCTCTCTCCCTGACGGGCAACTACACCTTGCTCAGGCTTCTGTAAGCAGTGAGCCACATACCTTGCCTTGGGTGCAGCCATGTGAAAATAAGTTGTTTCAAAAGGTGCTCCTTTCACAGAATAAGACTTGGAAAGCTGCACTATCGTTTCTTGGTCTTTTGAAGGTTGATCCTGGTCACATGTTAAATCAGTCTCAAAGCTAACACAGAAGCCAGCATCTCTCACCAAGATGCA